TTTTCAGTAACTTTCAATTAAGTTTACAGGCCTACATATAGGTCTAGACGCTACATTCCGTCACATAACCACTTACGTAACTAAGAGTTGACCACACGAATGGACGACAACTCGAGAAATTCCGAACTTGACAAACTAGATGCTGATCTTCTGGTTTGTGGCTTCCTGCAGACTTTCAGCTACACAACAACATTTTCGAAGAACATACTGCCCCATTCTTCAAACAAAAAGTAAATCTCAGCAACGAATATGGTGGCAGTAAATCCGGTATGTTCCTCCGAATCGATGGTATCTAACTACAAGTCCACGGTATTATAACCCAAAAGAGCAATATCGAAATCTTCACCGCTGTGAGAATATCAGATATCTCGTACGGTAATTTCGACTCTGGTTAGACCAAACGCAGAAGATAATATGTATTTGTAAACCGAAAGCCATTCCATCGGTTCTCAACTACAACGTCGGCCATTACTAGCTATAGAATACGACAATATGATCAAAAACCACATATAGAGTCAAGAAACTACAGAAATTCTCTAAACATGCTCTGCTAAATACTTACAACATCCTTTAATATTCCTTATTTTAGTGTCAATAACTAGCTACTGGCCACTGATATAGTATTCTACTGCATGTTGTCTATAAAGTGTATCAGCGAAATCTCTTCAGACATACATGAATTATACTTCATGACAATCGTTTTAAATTTTTTTTAGAAAATGTGCGTCGTATGTTTTAAACTTCATCACGGCAATTATTTGATTTTAAAGCCCTTTAATTAGACGAACAAAGGATGTAAAGAGTTTCAAAAGTCCAATCCGAAATAAATTCCTAAATAGTGCTTAGTCACACAGTTTACATTCCAGAAGACATATTTTAGGTTTCAAGGGTATTAGAGACGTAGTTATCTATCAAAACAACGAAATCAGTCTCTCGACGAAATAATTTTTCCGATATACTAATAAGCAAAAGATATTAGGAAGTACAAAATCAACTGATCCGCTTTTCTACTTTCAGTTGAAGAACATCAAGCAAAAACCATGAAGATGACGAAATCGGATCAGAGGCATCCTATGACAAAGCGCTAAGTGTGATACATAAAGTCTGGTATTAAAATTTCACAAGAGGTTCAGAATCGAGTTTAGAAGTGGAGAGACGGACAGACTAATGGAAGCAGAGCATGAGGTTAAATAAAAATAAAATTAACAGGCCTACAATTATTGTCTGGCTTGATATTATGGTCCCAACGGATCCTTATTTACGAGGTAAGTGTGCCCGACGACCCATTTATCTGTCCCCTGATTCAACTACAAGCGCCGATATCACGGAAACTGGTCGAATTTAATTAAATATGAGATTTAAAACTTTGTGTACTCATAGTATAGACCTAAAGCTATTATTAAGGATTCTTTCACGTTAATGTATACTAAGACTATGGTATCAGCACGAAACGTTCTGATGTCGACAGCGGGTACTTTTAAGTACCTGTCCTGATATGACATTATGAAGTATGCGTCCTAATAAAAATGCTACTCTTGAGCCTGATATTCGCATTTTAAAACCGCTGATATAATTTTTGTTGCAATTTCGCACCTGTTCCTTGCGTAGTATTATAAACACGGGTATCTGTGTGGTTAGGCTCGCGAATTAATATACAGTGTTCAGTAGTATTTGATTCTTTGCATGAAAATACATTTAACAACCAAATGGCATTCAATGGAAACCAACGTTCTACACTGCTACGTTTGGTACCACTGTATATTCTATGTTTATTTTCTCCATTCCCCATTCTCTCTTGACCCCTTAACAACCATCGAAACCACAGTACATGTGATTGTTGCAGGCCTCAGCCGCCATTTCTACCGAAAAACATGATAGTAACGGATACGATATTAAAACAAAAATACAAGAAGTTTCGTAGCCAGTTTTACAAGCATAATGGCACACATAGGACCACTTACGTTGTTGCCGAATGCTGAATACAGCACCGTAATATTACACGGTCCGACATAACGGAGTCGGGAAGATGCTGTGAGCTCAGACTAAAGTGACTTCAATAATTACACCCTCGAGAGTCATTTTACACCCATTCCTGTCCTTTCTAACCCCTCCCCCACATTATGACGGAGGAATTCCTTCAATCCCCGTCCAGCATAGGGGTATTACAATGTTACGTGACCCTGTCGAGGTCCTACGATTGTAAACGTATACAGCTCTTAATTCCGAACGCCTACGAACGTAGGAGTAGAGAATAATACGAGGCGCGTCCACAAAGTAAGTTTCCCCCTCGTCCCACAGCTAGCAAACCTTATATTGCGCGAAGCGACTGTGCGTACGTGATAGAGCAATGACGTAGCATGGCGCATGCACTAACGGAACTTCCCGCGTTCTCACAGTAGCATCGTTGCAGCTGTTGAAGATGGAGGTTCTTATTCCAGCTCCCGCTGACTGTGAAGTGCGGTCAGTGATAACGCTAGGCCGCACACGGTTCGACGGACAGCAAGTCTCCTGCAGGAGTTTAGCTGGGAGGTGTTTAATCATTCACCCTACAGCCCGGATCTCGCTCCCAGTGATTTCCATCTTTTCCTACACCTCACGAAATTCCTGTCCGGTCAGCGTCAGCGTTTTGAGAATGACAGAGAGGCGGAGATGGTTGTCACACAGTGGTTCCAATCCCCGGCGGCAGACTTCTACGACACAGGTATTAAAAGTTGGTCCCACGGTATGACAAATGTCTCAATTCCGGTGGCGAATATGTTGAAAAATAGCTGGACACTTGCTGTATCTGTTGCAATAAATATTTCCATGAAATTGTGTTTTGTTTCTGTAAACGGCCCCAGGGAAACTTACTTTGTGGACGAGCCTCGTATATAGTATCTGGCTACTTTATGGCGTAGTCAGTGTGTGAGAGGTTATGCTGGGGATAGTAAGGCAGCAGACACATTAGAATACAGAAATAAATGGTGTAAATAATGAAAGTTATCTACTTGTAAGATTTGAGGTTTTCACAGCGGTGAGTATAAAGATTTCTGTCTTCTGGGTTGTTGCGCTGTGTAGTCTGGTCGATGTTTGCCAACGTTTCAGAGGTCATACTGCCTCCGATGAATTCATCGCCCTGATTACGGAGGCAGTATGATCTCTGAAACGTTGGCAAACATCGACCAGACTTCACAGCGCAACAACGCAGAAGACAGAAATCTTCAAAGCTATCTACTTATTTGTAGCCCCGGTCTGATGCTGAGATTTGAACACGAGACCTACTTAATATGAAGCGGCAATACTAACTACTTGGCCGCGATATTTTGTCAAAACTCGACCTGAAATGCGACTGTGGCATTTGATTGGAGTGAATAAGAAGATTTGGGTCGGAGGTGGACAACAAATATTTATGGAAGTAAATGGCGGAAGTAATTCGATTTGTGGAAAACTAAATATGGATAAACAATTTCATGTAGAGTATTGGTTGTTGTCGAAATAACTATTGTTGTATCACAGGGTATCTTATAACGCTGTATCGATTGCGATAATTTAGGTAGCGTCCATACGGTAGGATAAAAGGAGAGTGATGATTGGGAAGAAATATAGAAGAAAGTGGTTGTGCCATTCACTTCGAATGAACAAAGGAGAAAAAATACGATCACAATAACGGGTCTAGGCTTAGGGTTTGAACCCAATACTTCTCGAATGGAAGCGAAATATATTACCACTGTTTTAACCTGTTCGGTCTCGTTTTGTTTTGTTCTGTTTCATACACGTGCCAGCTAAAGAAATACAATCACGCCATTCACATAGCAAGTCTCTACATCTGTAACCGACTTCAGTGCGTCTACTGATATTTAACTTCGTCTGCTGTTTATTGTCTTTCTTTGGTTGGAATTCATACTATAGAAATATGTAACTTCATAAGATATCGTAAAGCAGGAAACTTTAGTATTTAACATCGGAGTAACTGCCCTATTAGAAATTATGATACTTCTGTATTACGGGCATACACAGGGCCTCTATACAATTCGTACTTCCGAAGAATAAAATGTTAACTTATAAACAAAGTCCTATCATCTTCCATTAAGCACAATACATCCCCGATTATCCAACATTCCGTTTTATCGGACGAGACGTGTCGGAACGCTCCATTTTATGAACAAGACATCTCAATACGTAGCGAAATGACACTCCCCTACCAGGGCCCTCTACATTCTATGTACTCAGTTGCTTCTGTGTGATTTCGTTACTGACTTAGATTACATGAGTACAGTTATGCTTTAGTTTGTTGGCGAGAATTTGCATTTGGCTCAGGATGGGACCCAGTGTCGAGATATTTTGAACAAGACACTAAACCTTCCGGTCCCATAAAACACACGGAATTACTTGACTAGCTGAACCACTATTATATTATCATTAAGAACTCTGCATCATGGGGTTAATCAAATAATTAAGCAGCACAGAGCGACTTATGAAGTGTGCTAGGATTGTTTGTTACCTGTGCTGGCATAATCCGAGCTAATAGCACGGTGTCACTGGGAAATCCCTGAATGGGGTATACTGATTACAATCACTACTTAAACATAAGAGCAGCGTTGAAGTCAAGAAACACTAAAATTTAATACTAACAAGTTAAATCACTAAAGAAAGAATTAATTACATTAATAAAAAAACTCATATGCCAAAGTAACGAGGAATTGATCAATGACGAAGCAACAATGTCTTAATATGTGAATCTGTTGTTTTGGAATTTTCTATCGTCTACATTATAATATTATACAAATACGACGTTTCGAAAGCTAAAAAATGGGCAACGAGAACAGAAAACTAAACTAGAGGGCCCAACGAGAATTTTTTCTCTCCCTCATTTTTACGTGAAGATGGAAGCAAAATCCAGCTTTCGAAAACTAGTTGTTTAGTAATTTTATAATCTAGACAATGGACAAAGTACAAAAGAAAAATTCTACAGATTATAATGGACCATCGTCAGAAACCTTCGAACTTCGACATTGTCCTACCTGACATTGCTGAGGTCCCTGACGGTTTGGTGATGAAGCTTTAGGCCTAGGTTTCTTGACCGCTAATTTGCTGGAGTCAGCCACTCCTTTGATATCCTCCGTACTGCCCACTGGAGAAAAAAACAACAGAATTAACATTCGACTGTAAGCTTCTCAAAAAAAATCTGCTGTATGGACTTGGTTTTAGAAAGTATGTAAAATGACGAAAAATCACCTCAGGACGAAAGTAAATCTGATTTACGAAATTTGCCTTAGAAAATGACTTTGTCCATATTTCAACATGATCGCTGTGCATGACTTTGCAGAAATCTTCATACACCCAGTCCTTGCTTTTTTATCAGTGCTGAAGAGTTTCGTTTGCTTAGTACGTTCAATTCCTAGCGGTCTCAGTTCTCCAAGTGTCACTAAGTCTGGTACACGGTGACAGGATGTCTGGAACAGTCAGCGTCACGTCGCTCACACACACAGACCCTATTCGCTACGCCAGCGTCGCGTTAGCAGGCGCTGAGACAATTACTTGAACCCCGCTAGGGTCCAGGGCACATCGTTAAATACCGAGCTGCTCTGGAGAAATAGAGATCAAGACAGCCCGACTCGATTCCCAAACAGCTGCAATCGAACTGGTCTTATTACCGATATTAAAGCACTGAGTATTAGAATTTGTTGAAGATATAACGGGTTTATCACAATTTTCTCGGAAGACGCATTTTCCATTGACTAAAGTTTAAAATGGAGGTTACGCTACTGATCCAAAATGTTTCCAACGGTACAACATTTTGAAGATGACTATCTTCTGGGATATTGCGCTATGGTTCTGATAATTCGGCAGCAAGTACACTTGAAACGTCGGTAAGCGTCTACCATGCTACACGGCTTAACATCCCAGAAAAGTCATATTTGACTCAATGAGAACCTGAAATTTCAACGCTGAGACATTTTGATTGGGGAACCTCAACGAAAATTATTGCTTGGGAGTCCAAGACATAAAAAGGAGACTATTAATTTGGACATTCAAGGCTATGATGTGAGGATTTAAACTGGATTTAACTGATTTGCTATACGGTCAGCTGGTAGGCTTTGCTTCTGGACACGACAGTAAGCCCTCGGATTCCATAAGGGACGGTTCATGGAGATAATTACTTACTGTTAGAGCCACACTGTGGCTTCTTTGTCACTTAAAAGTGAAAAGATACATCACAAACGTACAACATAGCATTAAGTAACGAGTTTACATTAAACGTACCAACTTAAATTAACAATTACCAAATACTACTGATGGTCATTAAATAAAGGGTTTAGAAAGATCAAACGAAGTAAGAGACGAATGATGAGTCATTAAGAAAGGCTTCCTCTGATGCTTGGCCAACATCGTAATTTACGAGGTTAAGGGAAACTTTGCACTCTTCTTGACAAATAGGGCACCCTCTTCTCATAAGATATGGTAAAAAGGCTATAAAGAGAATTCCATTACTTTATTTGAATCATCCATTGTTATTGTATGTATTTATTAATTACTTCCTGTCAAATAACAATTTATTGTCAAAATTCAGTTATTTCACGACATGTACCTATATTCTTACCATAATTACGTGTTCTTATTACTATGGGTCTTCATACAGAGAGACATGTCTCATCCCCCTAGTAGCAATATTTATATTTAATACAGTACAGAAAACAAACAGTATAGATGGCTGCCTTATATTAACACTACGTAGATAAAATAAAATGATGATGTTTGAAATTACAAGTTATAGGAATGTAAGTAGAAACATAAAGGCAATTTTATTTCGATCTGTGACGAAACAATCACACATTGGGGGGGGGGGCAGTAATAGGAAACTATCAAGACAGACTGATGAAAATACACACAGAGGTCCAGGTTTATAATACAAAGATCCAGAACTGTATCACGGTATTAATAACTCACCGTAGACACTGCGATGTAATATATTCACCATTATTTTTGTTTGTTACTGTACGTGACACACAGAACCCTGTGGCCATTTAAGTTTAACATATATCGATTTTCATGTTCCCACGTGACCGCTATATAACCTGCCCAGTTCGTGCTGTCTGCTGCCATGTTTGTTATGCTCAGACATGCTGTATATCGAGACATACACAAGTTAGTTAAAAGAGCGACTGACATCAACATATAATTGCTCGCTTACACGTTAACCGCGTCAGCCCGGCTAACACTCTGGAAAAAAGTATTTCTTTCGTAGTTTAGTGGTTATCTGTACACTGGAAAACAGGGTAACCGAACAGATAAAATGCATAATCTAGCTCTGGCCAGCCACGTGTTAACTAGGCAGGTTAAGTCCCTCCGAAACGCTGGTAAACCACCCATGAGAGTACACAGCGTTGGAACCCAGAATACCACAATCGACAACTTCACCGACGAGAGAATCTCAGCTTTATGAATGCTTGTAGAGAATAGTAAAAGCACAGGAGGATTTAACGTCCTTACAGCGGTGTGTACGAAGATGGCTGTCTTCATGGCTGTCTTCTGACACAGCGCTACAACCCATAATACAGCCATCATTGTATAAGCACTGCCTGGCAATGATCCGAAGGCCAGAATATGACAGATGACTACACCTTCTTAGCAACAATTAAGAAATAAAGACTATATTTGTGTCACGCCAGTGGTGTTCATAGAATATCTGAGCTACGATGGCAGAAATTAAATAAAAATAGTGTTTGTTCCCGTTAGCATCTTTGCCTATATATACGTCTGAAAATAATTCAAGTTTAAAGAAAAAATAAACCGTGCCTCAGCACTGCAAGATTTATTGTCATCCCACCAGAATGGTATGATGAAATGTAATAACAAGGAAGCTATGGTGTATAGAGACGTCACTTAAAACGTGTTAAATATACAAAGTCAACACAGTAAAATTCATCTGTACCTCACCAAACTGTTACGCTGAAATGCAATAAAAATACCAGAAGTAATCATAGCAACTATAACAAAGTTGGACTGAATAAAGACGTTTTATTATGTAAGTTAGAGCCAATACAAGGCAACTGATGATGGCTCCATGTGGCAGAAACGCTTTTGAAAATGTAAATAAATGCTAGTATTCTAATAAAAGTGGTTGGTTGCTAGTGTTACGATGACAGTTGAACCGAGGTTAAAAATACGAACAGACAAAAACCTAACTGGTCACTTGAAAAATAATAAATTGTTTGACTACAAAGATAGTACTTTGATATGAATATGTATAATTATAGATATTTCAGTATTATTCAGTGACCGTTAATTCAACGTAAAATTACTTCCACTTTAACATTAAACAAACAAGAACAGAAAAGTACAAATATTGCCGGCATCGAAGTAAAGGGGTTCAAAACAAATATTTAATAAATCAAAAAACAATTTTCGAAAAGTTCTCACAAAACGGATCGTCGTACACATAAATTTGAAGTTCTGTAAAATACGACGTACAAAAGCACTGAGTGAGTCTATGTGACCGCAAAACCATACACGTGCGAATAACAGCAAGGTATATCAACCTTAAAGAATGGCAAAGCTCGTGTAATGATGCTATTTCGACGACTCGTGGCCGATACGCAAGTACACCACATAGTTGCTCTGATTTCGGAGCCGCGTGTTGAGATATTTCATCTATTTTTATCGGATTGGATTCCACAAAGAAAGGACAAATCTATCTCATCTGTCTTGTGCAGTCACCACTACAGACGGTCTGGCCTATTGTCACTTCGGGCTTTGCCAGTTCCCCCACTCTGTGTCGCAACGGGCCCAGGAACTTCGCTTCTCGACTCTCAAAAAGACTGCATGACCCTTGTATAAAATAAAAATATCTCTGACCTGGCATTGCAGGTGTTGGAAAAATATTCAGTGTCAGTCCACGGTTTAAACGCATGAACAGCTATCCAAAAGCAAACTCTTGCTAACTACGAGGCCTAAACTGGCTTATAAAACAAACTTAATCAGACAAGCCTTACGGATTTGTGTATTAACTTAACTTATAAGACTATATAAGCTTCATAACGATAAATTTAAAGTAAATTATGCGCATTTACTGTGGAAACAACAGGATTAATCACACCTATGGACAATCGAGTAATATATACAGAAGGATTATATAATATAATTATCAGTATTGTACGTGAGGTGAATACACACTGACAAACGTAAAAAACAAGTATGCGCACATATGTTACTGATATCGTTACTGGCTTTAATCAACTAAAATCTACATTAAATTATAAAAACAACCGGTTTGTTCCAACAAAAGACGAAAGACAATTATGGTTATGATCTGATTACGATAGATATGATTCTGACTGAATATGAATTCGACAAATTTAGCGGATATAATTTTGAACGCACTTTATTAAAAGCCAATCAAACATCTGGCTTCTTCACTATAGTTATACTTGAAAAATATTTTAATGCGCCATTTTGAAAAGAAATTGGATATCGCAGATAAACCACGTAAACTAAGCCTGTGGCGTAGCATTCTGGTGTATTGCGATGTTATGATGATGGTGACGTTGGGCTGAAACATGTTCTAGTGAATGTACTGTGAACTGTTAGCATGAAAATGAAGGACAAGAGAGAAATAACAAAGAAATCGTAAACTAAGTTTTCTTTACTGGCGATATATATTCACAATTTATACACCAATAAACTAAATAACAAAGTAAGAAAGTTTGTACGTAAGCAAGTAAATAACTAACTCTGTTAGTGAACCAAAAGGTTCGACATCTCAGACACAAAATCCCACCGATGCACACACTCCTGAGTCAGCCCCGTCTACAACATCCACAAATCCTTTTTTCCTAAGAATTATTACATTATCCTAACCATGGGATTTCCAAACGACCTCTTTGAATAGATTTCATCACCAAAATTCTATATGCATTTCTGGTATCCCCAGCACAGAGTAACATTCTTAATTTCACAACTTTTAGGGATAATCAATTTCCTCGTCACATGATATCCCTTAACTCACATGATGGCGCTTAGGGTTTAAACACTTCCAGACTGCAGATCCTTTCAACTCTCTTAGTTGCGCCATTACAATTCACTGTATCCTAACTATATCAAACTTATTCTTGTTCCTTTTTACTTTATTTA